AACGACAGCACTCCAGGCTTCTTTAAGGCCCAAGAGTATTTCACAGGGTGTGTCTACACCCTATCTTGTTTATTCGTTTACCTGTTGCTGGGCGCCTAGGTCCATTCCCTAGTTTGGCTCGTGCCAATAGTGCCGCGGTAATCATGTGCGTGGGCGCGCAAATATCCCTTTGATATATGGATTTCTGTCCCTCTGGGTACATACCAAATCCAGTGGGACTGGTGAATCTACGATAGGTCTAGTTCGAGGTTTTTAAGAAATCTCTGTACCGTTCTCTGCAGTGGCTGTAGGAATTGACATTCCCACCACCAGTGATGTGGGGAGGATGTCCTTTCCCCTTTGCCACATCCTGGCCAGCATCTGCTATTGCCTGTCTTTAGGATGCCGGCCATGTTAACTGGGGTGGCAGATGATATCATCTTGTGGTTGGATTTGCTTTCCTCCGATGTTTAGTGTCATTAAGCATTTTTTTCACATACCTGTCTGTTGGCCATTTGTATGTCTTTCTTTGAGAAATGCCTGTTCAGATCTTCTGTCCAGTTTTGACTCACATTGCTGAGAGGGGGGGGTGTGTGTTTGTTTCTTTGTTGCTGTTATTGTTGTGTTTTGCTTTGCCATTTAGTTGTGTGAGCTCCGCATAGGCTCTGCTTGTTAATTCCGTGTCAGATGTCAGATGGATAGTTTGCAGGTGCTTTCTGCCATTCTGTGGGTTGTCTTTTTATTTTGTTGACTGTTTTCTTTGCTGAACAGAAGCTTTTTTAGGTTGCCTGTGCTCGGGATGTCTTACACAAAACCTCTTTGCCCAGACAACTTCCTGGAGCATTTGTCCAATGTTTCCTTCTAGTAGTTGCATAGTTCTGGTCTTAAATTTAAGTGTTTAATCCGTTTGGATTTGGTTTGGGGATGTGGAGAGAAATAGGGGTCTAATTTCATCCTTCAGCAAGTAGATGTCCAGTTTCCCCCCACACCATCTATTGTAAAGGACTGTCCTTTCCCCATGGCACACTGCAGGACCAAAAGGGAACAGCAAGTTGCATGGGCCGGGAATCGAACCCGGGCCTCCCGCGTGGCAGGCGAGAATTCTACCACTGAACCACCCATGCGCGGATAGTAGACTCCTACAGAGGCTTTCACAGTAGTAGCCTCCTGGACTCTGGTCTGGCTTCTCGTGACTGTCTGCAGCGTTGGAGCGTGCTCCAGGACCCGGTCGAGTGGAAGGCGAGGGGCGACCAGTAGGTCAGGCTCAGGTCGTGTGGAGGACCCCGGGGAGCAGCGCTCGGGCATAGGGCGAAGGGTAGACTTCCCAGGTCCAGGGTTTTTCTTGGTGCCTAGGGCTGCGGGATCGGCTGTTGGTGTCTCCAGAGGACGCCTGGAGAGAAAGCGGCCCTGGCCGGCGCCCTGATGCACATCGGGCAGAAGACGTGTGGCGAGCTTGGCTGAACGCACACTTGAGGTGGGGGGCAACCCGGCCCCCAAGCCTGGAATCTGACCCCGACCGGTCCCTTTCAGGGCTGATTGGCTTTCTTGTCTGTGGTGCTGTGTGGGAGCCAGCGAGGGGCGGAGAGGAGCCACGGGTACACACACTACGCCCCAGCGAGGCTCTGGCATAGAGACCAAGGGAGTGAGTGGGAGCCTCGCTCCTGCTCCCTGGGCAGCGGCCCCTCACCTCTATAGTGTGGGGACCCAGGGTCGGGGTGGAATGGGAGGGAGCTGTGCGGGAGGCAGGGTTGCCAGGAGGAATCGGAGGAATAGAGCAGAGCGCTGGCAGAGCAGCAGCCAGCTCTGGAGAAGGCTCCGGGGTGGCCCCCGGCAGCTGCTTGGCGCGTGTGGAAGCGGTGCGGCGCAGAGGTGGTCTGGGAGGGGGCCCAGCGTTCGTGATCTGGCCACGCGAATCTAGGGCTTCTGTCGCGACTCCTGGGGTCGGTCTCTCCCGGCTCGGAATCCAGAGGCTTCCCTCTGTCTGGCGAGGAGGCGTCCAAGCTGCCCGTGTGGAGGCCATCAGGGCCAAGTCAGGAGAGCGCCGCAGTGAAGAAGTTGGGGAATAGCTGTCTAGCGAGGCAGGTGATCTCAGTAGGTTGTGGCGAGAACCGAATGGGCAGGCGGGGGCCGAGGCTGTGGGTGGGAAAGAGGAACTGTCGGACGGGGTGCCTCCAGTTGCAGAAGTGTGCGGGTTCAGAGCGCCAGCCGTAAGTCGCTGTTCTCCCTGCAGGAGCCGGAGGGGAAAACGGGGGCGGGCTATGTTGGCAGGAGGGGAAAGGCAGGGATAATCGAGGAAGGTGGCCAGCGAGGTACTCAAGTGCCTAGCGTGGGGTCAAGTCTGAAGGGGCACGTAAGTTGGCGGAGAGTGCGTCTGTCCGAATAGCAACTTCCAGCGCATGGGCGGGAAGAAAGGGGAGCCTATGCAGTCGCTGCGTTTGGGGCGGGGCGCGCGTCCAGGGGGCTTGGAGCTTGGCGAGAGCGCGAGGCAGGAAGGCAGGGTCAGGGGATCATGGGTTTCCACTGTTACCGGAATTTTGCTTTTCAGTAGGTCCTTGGTCTCTGGCATTCGAGGAATGAAACCCGGGACCACAGATCAGCGGTAAGACGGTGTTTTATTAGAAAGGAATACAGAAGTAAAAGGCACTAGAGTTTCTGGAAGGAGGAAAGAACTAACTGGGGAGTCTCTACGTGGGCTTTTTATCTAGGGGTATTAGGTCTTGAGAATTACACTTAGCCAGGATTTGGCAAATAGAAACGCATTTGCATCGTTAATAAGCGTTATAGGCAAAGAAAGTGAATGCTGTCCCTTTTCAGGCAAAAGGTCAGGCTGTTCTCTCATGAACTTTCCCCGTTCAGCCTTGAATGGAGGGGAACCCTGTATCACCAGGAACGTTCCCCTGGCGAAAAGGTGAGATTGTCAGGAGTGGGATTCGAACCCACGCCTCCAGGGGAGACTGCGACCTGAACGCAGCGCCTTAGACCGCTCGGCCATCCTGACTACTGACCGGGAGAAAGTGCCGCTCCCTGGCTGCCGAGTAGCAGGCACTCGCGTCCGTGGGCGGCGACTTTCCTGGTGAGCAAATTAAAC